TCCCGATCGAAAGAGGAGATCTGGACCTTTCTGTGAGTACCGAACGTGTGTGCTGGGAGCGCGCAGAGCGCGCACTCTCAGCACATTTTTTTTTTAATAGAACGCAAATCTGCGGCCACTCGGCATCTAGGCCAAGAAGCCGGGAGGCGGGGCGGGGTTTTAGGGTCATTTGACCGCCGTAATTCTCTGCCACAGCGGTCACATGATTGGGAAACGTCCTGATTGAAAGAGGAGATCGGGACCTTTCCATGAGTACCGAACGTGTGTGCTGGGAGCGCGCAGAGCGCGCACTCTCAGCACATTTTTTTTTTTAATAGAACGCAAACGTGTGGCCACTCGGCGTCTAGGCCCAGAAGCCCGGAGGCGGGGTTTTAGGGGCATTTGACCGCCGTGATTCGCTGTCACAGCGGTCACATGATTGGGAAAGGTCCAGATCGAAAGAGGAGATCGCGACCTTTCCGTGAGTACCGAACGTGTGTGCTGATGGCGCACGCTCTCAGCACATTTTTTTTTTTTTTAATAGAACGCAAATGTGTGGCCACTCGGCGTCTAGACCCAGAAGCCGGAAGGCGAGGGGGGTTTTAGGGTCATGTGACCGCCGTAATTCGCTGTCACAGCGGTCACATGATCGGGAAAGGTCCCGATCGAAAGAGGAGATCGGGACCTTTCCATGAGTACCGAACGTGTGTGCTGGGAGCGAGCAGAGCACGCGCTCTTAGCACATTTTTTTTTCAATAGAACGCAAATCTGCGGCCACTCGGCATCTAGGCCCAGAAGCCGGGAGGCGGGGTTTTAGGGTCATGTGACCGCTGTGATTTGCTGTCACAGCGGTCACATGATTGGGAAAGGGTCCTGATCGAAAGAGGAGATCGGGACCTTTCCGTGAGTACCGAACGTGTGTGCTGATGGCGCACGCTCTCAGGAAATATTTTTTTTTTAATAGAACGCAAATGTGCGCCCACTCTGCGTCTAGGTCCAGATGGCGGGAGGCCGCACATTTGCATTCGGCCAGCACAAAGAGGTTAATGAAAATATTTCAATGAAAGCTTTCTGTCCTAGGCTCAGCTTTAGCGTATCCTGTCTGCGTCACTGTTTCCAGTGGTAGGTGATCAGCACACGCAGATAAGTCGGCCGCTTTTTCTACAGCGCTGGACGCCTCATTACCGCCGATTCAAGACTCACTTTTTCTTTAGATTATATAATCAGCGGAAATGTGGTTTTCCTCTTTCTGACTGATGTATTATTCATATTGCAATCTGAAAAAATACAGACAATTTAATTATTTAGAATTGTCTAAGTATGTAAAGATTAAAATAGGCCGAAACACGTTTTCTAGCGTCTGCAGAGGAGGAGCTGACCGGTTTAATGAGAGAAAGAAAAAAAAACGGTAAAAAAATGTCTAAGGTCTTGTGGGCTAAATTGAAGCGAAGGTTAAAAACGTAAAGTGGAACTGCCCTTCATCTGAGCACCACAAACCAAAAATGCTATTTCATTCATTGCAAGGCTCCATGCACATGGGGGGGTGGGGGGTTTTTAATAGAGCTGGTAGTATTAGCTGTGTAAAGTCGCGTTAATGCAAGTTTTTCTGCGTTTTTTAGTGTTTTTGCATTAGCCACAATTTTCTTCATTTGCTTTTTTAAGCGTTTTTTTTTTACACCCCCAAAAAAATTTTGCTCAAAAAATTTTCCGTGTTTTGCCACGAGTGTTAGAGTTAGAGTGTTTTGACAGCTAAAAAAACTCCTCTAGAAACCCACTAGTTCTGCACATTTTTTTTCCAGCCAAAAAATGGTCATTAAAGCCGATGTGTGCATGGACACATAGGATAACATGCTGGGGGGTTTACTGGCTGTAGAAAAAAAGCCAAAAACGGCTGCTGTAAAAACATCCAGTGTGCATGAGGACTTAAAGCGGAGTTCCACCTGAACAAAAAGTGGTCTACCACTTGGTGGCTGAGTTGCTGTTGTTCCCAGGTGCTTCCACTTTGTTATAATCCCACTAACAGTTGAGCGTGGAATATTTAGTAGCCGGGAAATGTCACGGATGGACTTATTGCACAGGTGACAACCTATCACGGGACCACGCTTGGAGTCACTGAGCTCCTGAGAGCGACCCATTCTTTCACAAATGTTTGTAGAAGCAGTCTGCATGCCTAGGGGCTTGATGTTATACACCTGTGGCCATGAAGGTGATTGGAACACCCAAATCCAATGATTTGGAGGGCTGGCCCAATACTTTTTTGTATGAACCACAATACCTTTGTGAATGATGCAATTTGAACACCTATGCACTTATTTTGTCCTGTTCTCTCTTTTTGGAAAGAACAATTTGCATTAAAAACAATTGAAACATAAAGTGTGAGAGTTCAGCTTCAACAGAGTTCAGCTTCAATTTGTTAATGTATCAAAATCTACTAGTCCATCTTACGCTCTCCCCCCTCCCCAGGACTGACAATGCTGCTGTCCAAAGGTGCCCCCTGTGCTCCTTCATCCAAAGTGGGGCACTCTAATACAGGAGGTGTGTTACTGGCCAGATCACCAGGTGAAAACTGAGGGAATAAAATCAGGCACATTGCTTAGTGAAAGCACCTCACAGCACACACACATAAAAACTGGTTAGGCACACATTTAACCCTTTGATCACCCTAGATGTTTATCCCCTTCCCAGCCAGTGTCATTAGTACAGTGACAGTGCATATATTTAGCACTGATCACTGTATTAGTGTCATTGGTTCCCAGGAAGTGTCAAAGGTGTCAGTTATTGTCAGATTGCCCGCCATAGTATCGCAGCCCCCATGTATAGTTGCAAGAAAAAGTATGTGAACCCCTTGGGATTACGTGGAGTTTTGCATGAATTGGGCATAAAATGTGCTCTGAACATCATCTAAGTCACAACAATAGAGGAACACAGTCTGCTGAACATAATACTACATAAACATTAGATGTTGCCATGGTTTAATTGCACATAACATGTAAACATTCACAGTGCAGGGAGGAAAAAGTATGTGAGGCCCTAGCTTAATGACTTCTCCCAGAGCTAATTGGAGCCAGGAGTGAGCCAACCTTGACTCCAATCAGTGTGATGATATTGGATGTGTTGCTGACAGCTGTCCTGCCCTTAACAAACACACACCTGTTTTGGGTTTACTGGTTTCAAGAAGCACTGTCTGATGTGAACCATGCCTCGCAGAAAAGAGCTCTCAGAAGACCTACGATCAAGAATTGTTGACTTGCATGAAGCTGGAAAGGGTTACAAAAGTATCTCCAAAAGCCTTGATGTTCATGTGTCCACAGTAAGACAGACTGTCTACAAATGAAGAAAGTTTAGCACTGTTGCTACTCTCCCTAGGCGTGGTTGTCCTGTAAAAATGACTGCAAGAGCACAGCGCAGAATGCTGCATGAGGTAAAGAAGAATCCCAGAGTGTCAGCTAAAGACCTACAGAAATCTCTGGCACATGCTAACATTTTTGTTGACACATCTACAATAAGGAAAACATTAAACAAGAATGGAGTACATGGGAGGACACCACGGAGGAAGCCATTGCTGTCCAAAAAGAATATTGCAGCACGTTTGAAGTTTGCAAAAGAGCACCTGGATGTTCCACAGCACTACTGGCAAAATATACTGTGGACAGATGAAACCAAGATTGAGTTGTTTGGGAAGAACACACAACACTATGTGTGGAGAAAAAAAGGCACAGCACACCAACATCAAAACCTCACCCCCACTGTAAAACATGGCGGAGGGAGCATCATGGTTTGGGGCTGCTTTGCTGCCTCAGGGCCTGGACAGATTGTTGTCATTGATGGGAAAATGAGTTCCAGAGTTTAGCAAGACATTTTGCAGGAAAACGTACAACCATCTGTCCGCCAACTGAAGCTCCGCAGAGGATGGGTGATGCAACAGGACAATGACCCAAAGCATACAAGTAATTCAACAAAACAATGGCTGCAACAGCACAGAATACGCCTTCTGGAGTGGCCCAGTCAGAGTCCTGACCTCAACCCCATTGAAATGCTGTGGCATGACCTTAAGAGAGCGATTCACACCAGACATCCCAAGAATATTGCTACACTGAAACAGTTTTGTGAAGAGGAGTGGTCCAAAATGACTCCAGATCGTTGTGCAGGTCTGATCTGCAACTACAGGAAACGTTTGGTTGAGGTTATTGCTGCCAAAGGAGGGTCAACCAGTTATTAAGTCCAAAGGTTCACATACTTTTTCCTCCCTGCACTGTGAATGTTTACATGTTATGTGCAATTAAACCATGGCAACATCTAATGTTTGTGTAGTATTATGTTCAGCAGACTGTGTTCTTCTATTGTTGTGACTTAGATGACGTTCAGAGCACATTTTATGCCCAATTCATGCAAAACTCCACGTAATCCCAAGGGGTTCACATACTTTTTCTTGCAACTGTAAGTTGCTGATCATTGCCATTATATATATAAAAAAATTCCAGTATATATACACTATAGTTTGTAGATGTTATAACTTTTGTGCGAAGCAATCAATATACGCTTATTGGAATTTTTTTACCAAAAATATATAGCAGTGTATATATTGGCCTACTTTTATGAAGACATTTGATTTTTTTCTTTTATTGGATATGTTTTATAGCAGAAAGTAAAAAATATTGTTTTATTTTTTTTTTTAATTTTCAGTCTTTTTTTCATGAATCAGTGCTGGTCCTCCACTGTCAATGCCAGGATTGGTTGCCTGGAACAGAGGTATATACAGTATACCATCCCGGATGCCACCAAGTCTCCATCCTACAAGAAGATCTTCGGGGGAACCCTAGGTCTAGCTCCTCCAGCAGCTGCTATGTCACCTCCAGCACCAGGCACTCCCTGGGCCGCACCTTGTGCTCCGGCAGGTGCGGTAGTGGCACTGGTGGTCTGTCCAGCAGCAGGGTGGTTTTCTCCTCCTCCTCCCAGAGGGCTACAAGTCCTCCTTGCTCCGGCTGAAGAGCAGCTTCCCCCCAGTACAGCCCCAGAACAGCATGGACTTCACCCTGGCAGATGCCATCAACCTCGAGTGCAAGGCCAACAGGACCAACAAGAAGACTGAGATGCAGGACCTCTACAACAGGTTCTCCAACTTCATAGATAAGGCTTGCTCCTTGGAGCAACAGAACAAGATCTTGTTGCCCAAACTGGAGCAGCTGAAGGTCAAGGGTACCTCCAGGGTGGGGGATCTGCTTGAAGAGGAGATGAGGGACCTTTGCAGGCAGGTGGACCTCCTCACCAACCAGAAAGCCAGTGTGGAAGTGGAGAGGTATAACTTGGCAGATGACTTCCAGAGACTCAGAGAAAAGTAAGTCTTAGGGTTCTGAAATATAGGGGTACAGTCCACCTTAATGCTATGTTTCATTTATGGGTGGAGGGTGGTGGGCTGAATCATCAACTGGTTGCTCAGAGGGGGGAATCATCTACTGGTTTATCAGAGGAGGTTCCAGAATCTAGATTAGGGTTCCTGTTTAAATTGGGAGTTCCTCAGAAGTGGGGTCCAGTGTCTAGATCAGGGGATCCTCAAAGGGGGGAATAATGTACTGGTTCCTTAGATGGGGACTCATTAACTGGTTCCTTAAGGGGGATTTAGAGCCCAGATGGCCTTCCCTAGAGAGAAAAATAATTTACTGGTTCCTTAGAGAGCGGTCCAGATCAGGGATTCCTTACCAGAAGATGGAATCATCTACTGGTTCTTTAAAGGGGGTCCAGATCTGGGGTTTCTCAGAAAGACCAATGCTGAGAGGGGAGTGACACCATGTTTTACCACACCCTAGTGATGCCACTGCAAACACCACTAAAAGAAAGCTCTATTTGTGTGAACAATTATATAAATTCAATTTGGGTACAGCGTTGCATGACTGAGCAATTTCCAGTTGAAGTAACGCAGTGCCAAATAGCAAAAAAATGGGGGGGGGGGTAAATCAAGTGGTTAATACTGCTTTAGAGGGTCACAGAGGACTGAACAGATCTACAGGCAGCAGGAATCCCCTTTAACTAGAGAAGCATTGAGTCTCCCCACTCTGCATACAGCGCTGCCTATCCATCACAAGCAGCATGAAGGTCCCACACTACAATGGATGGCTTCCGGCACCGCTTCTTATAAATAAATGATGTTTCGGTCGTATTTATCATAAAAACAATATGCTCACCATATGTTGTTTGACAGAAAAGAAAGACGGCTCACTCTATTTATGATGATGACCGCCCAGTGGAAAAATACACACATTCAAACATCATTTATTAGATGGAAAGACCGTGCTGCACCCAATGAATGTACCTGGGTATGTTTACAATCGAAAACAAGCATTGTATAGAGGAAAGGATTGAAGTTGAAGTTTAAATGGTTTTTCCATCCTTCCCCACTTTTTCCCCTCATCAGCATGCCGTTTATTCATTCCATTTTATACTCACTGATGTCATCATCGGGACTCTGTGCTTCTCTATGCAATGCAGGCAGATCCTGGCTGGTGGGAGGGGCTAATGACTGGTGGGAGAGGCAGGGTGCTGTACATAGTTTCCTGAAAGCATCATAGAATCCCGCCTTAGTACTGCTCTCAAGAGCCCTGGTGCAGTGGGCTGGCTCTTGGGAGGAGTTATGCAAATACCACAGTACCTTGCTGGGTGGATGTCAGTCTGCGGGAGTGGATATTTCTAGGCAGGCTGTATTTGCATGCAAATTATGTACATATGTACAGTTGTGCTCAAAAGTTTGCATACCCTGGCAGAAATTGTGAAATGTTGGCATTGATATTGAAAATATGACTGATCATGCCAAAAAAATGCTCTTCTATTGAAGGATGATGGACATATGAAGCCATTTATTATCACATAGTTGTTTGGCTCCTTTTTAAATCATAATGATAACAGAAATCCCCCAAATGGCCCGGATCAAAAGTTTACATTTCTAAAGCAGCCTGTATTTTTCTTGTGGTTACCTATGGGTTTCCCTTTGTATCCCGAACAATTCTTCTGGCAGTTGTGACTGCAATCTTTCTTGGTCTACCTGACCTTGGCTTGGTATCAAGAGATCCCCCAACTTTCCACTTCTTAAAAAGGGATTGAACAGTACTGATTGGAATATTCAAGGCTTTGGATATCTTTGTATATCCTTTTCCATCTTTATAAAGTTCCGTTACCTTGTTACTCAGGTTTTTTGACAGTCCTTTTCCGCTCCCCATGGCTCAGTATCTAGCCTGCTCAGTGCTTCCACGTGAGAGCTAACAAACTCATTGACTATTTATACCCTGACACTAATTGCAATTTAAAAAGCCACAGATGTGGGACATTAACCTCTAATTGGCATTTTAGCCCGTGTGTGTCATCTTGTGTGTCTGTACCAAGGCCAAACATTCCAGGGGAGGGAAGCTTAATAGGTGATTTAACAGTACTGATTGGCATATTCAAGGCTTTGGACATCTTTTATGTCCTTTTCCATCTTCATAAAGTTCCATTACCTTGTTACGCAGGACTTTTGACAGTTCTTTTCTGATCCCCATGGCTCAGTATCTAGCCTAGTCAGTGCTTCCATGCTTCCACGTAAGAGCTAACTATTCTTCTCTCTTCTATTATTTTATTTTCTATTCTATTCTTTACTATGCTATTCCCTTATTTTCTATTCTAATTTATTCTTTTATTTTCCATTCTATTCTACTCTGTTATGTTTTACTCTGTTCTTCTCTACTCTATTATTTTATTTTCTATTATTATTATTATACAGGATTTATATAGCACCGACAATTTGCTCAGCGCTTTACAATATAACGGGAGACAATACAGCAACAATACAGTTCAATACAAGAGGGATAGGAGGGCCCTGATCCTTGGAGCTTACAATCTAAGAGGGAGGGGCTAGTGGTACAAAAGGTAGTAACTGTGGGGGATGGACTGGTTGGAAGAGTAGAAGATTCCATTATTAGCTGAGGGCAGGATAGGCTTCCCTGAAGAGATAGGTTTTCAGAGATTGCCTAAAAGTGAGCAAAGTAGGTGATAGTCTGATAAATTGGGGTAGAGAGTTCCAGGGGATGGGAGAAGTCCTGGAGATGAGCATGGGAGGAGGAGACAAGGGAGCTAGAGAGTAGGAGGTCATGCGAGGAGCGGAGAGGACAGTTTGGGCGATGGAGACAAGTTTGGTGAAGTAATTTGGGGCAGAGTTATAAATGGCTTTATATGTTATTGTTAATGTTTTGAATTTTACCCGTTGGGCAATGGGAAGCCAGTGGAGGGATTGGCAGAGAGGGATGGAGGACACTGAGTGGAGGCCAGTGGAGGGATTGGCAGAGAGGGATGGAGGACACTGAGTGGAGACCAGTGGAGGGATTGGCAGAGAGGGGTGGAGGACACTGAGTGGAGGCCAGTGGAGGGATTGGCAGAGAGGGATGGAGGACACTGAGTGGAGACCAGTGGAGGGATTGGCAGAGAGGGGTGGAGGACACTGAGTGGAGGGATTGGCAGAGAGGGATGGCAGATATGGAATGGTTAGTAAGGTGGATGAGTCTGGCAGCGGCATTCATGTTAGACTGAAGAGGGGATAGCCTGCGATGAGGTCAGCCAATGAGGAGGGAGTTACAATAGTCAAGGAGAGATATAACAAGGGAATGAATAAGTTGCTTAGTGGTTTCCGAGGTTAGGAACGGGCGTATCTTAGAGATGTTGTGGAGGTGAAGTCTACAAGATTTGGACAGCCATTGGATTTGGGGCTGGAAGGACAGATGGGAGTCTAGGATTACACCTAGTACCCTGGCATGAGGGGAGGGACTGATGATTGTGTTATTGATCTTGATGGAGAAGTCAGGGGAGGGGGGGGCACAGGCTGGAGGGAATACTAAGAGCTCAGTTTTGGAAAGATTGAGTTTGAGGAAGTGGAGTGACATCCATGCTGATATGTCACTTAGTAGGTTAGTAATGCGAGAGGAGACTGAAGGGGTAAGGTGAGGGGTAGAAAGATAGATTTGTGTGTCATCAGCATAGAGATGGTACTTAAAGCCATGGGAGTTTATCAAGTGACCAAGGGAGGAGGTGTAGATGGAGAAGAGAAGGGGTCTAAGGACAGAACCTTACCCCTACAGAAAGAGGGAGTGGAGAGGAGGAGACAGAGTTATGGGTAATGCTGAAGGAGCGCTGCGATAGGTAGGAGGAGAACCAGGAGAGAGCAGAGTCTTGGAGGCCAAGAGAGTGGAGTTTTTTTTTTGAGGAGGGGATGGTCAACAGTATCAAAAGCCACAGAGAGGTCAAGTAGTAAGAGTACGGAGTAGTGGCCATTGGTTTTAGCAGTTAGTAGATCATTAGTGAGTTTTAATAGGGCAGTTTCAGTGGAGTGGAGTGAGCGAAAGCCAAACTGTAAAGGGTCAAGAAGGTTGTTGTCGGTGAGGTGGAAGCTCAGGCAGGGGCGGACTGATAACTCATGGGGCCCCCGGGCAATAGGGGATCATGGGGCCCCTGTGTCCTTGCCCAAACTCAAAAACGCCTATGAAAAAGGTACCAGGGGTATCTCATGGGGCCCCCTACTGACCCCGTTCCCTCGGGCAGTGCCCGAGTTTCGAAATGGTCAGTCTGCCCCTGAGCTCAAGCAATTGTAGACTAAGCGTTCTAGGAATTTAGAGGTAAATGGGAGCAGGGAGATGGGTCTTAAGTTGTTCAGGTTGGTGGGGTCCAGGGAGGGCTTTTTAAGTATGGGAGTGATGTGCGCATGCTTTAGAGGGGTAGGGAAGGCACCAGTAGAGAGGGAAAGATTGAAGATGTGAGTGAGGGAACATAGGATAGAAGAAGAGGGTGACCGTAGTAGTTGTGAGGGGACAGGATCCAGGGGGCAGGTAGTGAGACGGACTTCTGAGAAAACCTTAGTGACCTCTTCGGTAGTAGCAAGGTCAAAAGAAGAAATGTTGAGGGAGGTTTAGTATGAGGTATGCTAAGTGGGATGGATGTCTGTGCAGTGCAGTTGAGATGCCCCTACGAATTGCATCAATCTTGTTTTTGAAATGATTTGCAATCTCGTAAGCAGTGAGTGAGGTACTGGGTGGAGGTGGAGAAAGTAGAGAGTTAAAAGTAGAGAAGAGACAATGAAGACTGGTTGACAAGGTATTGATGAGAGTGACAAAGTAGGCTTGTTTGGCAGCATGGAGGAGGAATTATATGTTAAGAAAGCAGATTTATATAGGGTGAATGCTTGCTGAGATTTGGTTTTACGCCACAATCGCTCCATCGCACGACTATGTTGCTTAAGATTTCTAGTGTCATCAGTCTGCCACGGTTGTAATGGTCGGGGCCTGATACTTTGTGTAGTTAGAGGAGCAAGTGAGTCTAGTGTGGATGA